CTCCAACAAGCAAGGACATTTTCCAGTGTAACCACAGGACAACCGTCAAAATCAGAAAATGAACACCAACACATCACGACCATGGAAACCTCAGACCCCATTCACATTTTGCCAGTTGACCCCGTAACTTCCTTTATGGCAAAACACGGTCCAGTGCAGAGTCTCGGGTTACATTGAGCTGCCACACCTCTTTAGACCTACCCTTCAGTCTGGAGCAGTGCCAGGGGCTTGCTCTGGTTTTCACGACCCAGGCACTTTGCATGATCACAGGCCAGGTGCTTTGTAGAACGTCTCGTTGCTTGGGTTCATCTTAGGTGTCCCGATTCCATTCCAGTGACGTGTCTTTGGCAGGAACATCACAGATCTTCTCAGGGCATCCTATCAACGCAGTAAGGGACGTCCACTTGTCCCGCTGAGGCGGGGCCCCCCCCCCCCCCCCGGCACACTCTGATCATGTGATCAGAGAGCCTGTACTCTCAGTGGCTCCGCCACAGTCCACGGAAGCCACATGGCAGGGTCCATTTGGTAAAGCCAATCTACGAGCATCACTCCCCTGCGGTCAGAGTGACGGCAGCTCAATAAAGTTGGCTGGAAACCTACAGAGGTAGCTACGGAGAAGCCAGGCTCTTCTGAATATAGTAATTCACGACAGCCACTCCTGGTTTCGTGGCGGAAAGCTTGATCAAGTATGGGGGAAAGGGAATATACAGAAATAAGCAACTAGAGTAAACACAGAAAGGAGTATAGAGAAGATCAGAGAAGGGTTAATACAACCAATCGGGTACGCACATCATCCAACCTTCTGGCTGGGGAAACCCCCTCCCCCTTCCCCACCCCTCCATACAGCCAGGTTGGAGTCCCGATGGAGGGCCCCCCGGGGCAGAGTATCCTCCCCTGAGGTGAGGCTTCCAACTAACTATTCCCTCCAGGGCAAGATAAACACTACCCACAGTCATTAAGTTTGCCGAAGGGCAGTCCTGAGCAGGCTGGCTCTTGTTCTCTCTTATCCCATCTCCCAATCTCAGGAGGATGCCATTCCGCATAGTTCTCTTCCCTCCCTGGGCCCTTCCAGGGGGGGCCAGCCTGGTCTGGCTCAAGGCGATGAGGGAAGTTCATCCCTCTGGGTGTCAGGAACAGAGGGGCCAGTTCTGATCCCGAGGAACGCGAGCCAACTAAGCCCCCCACCATTGTGTACGTGCAGCCCTGGGCAGAAATGCCTGTCATATGAACATGTTCTGTGCAGAGCACAAGCTTACTTTTACCTTTGGCTTTGGCCTGTAAACAGACGCATACACATTTCCGGGCCCAGGCTCAAAACAGTCTATCTCGTCTCCCTGTTTTTCCTCCCTCTGCTGCCTGGTGGAACTTTTAGTCTGTTAGACTCTCACCACCCCCCCTCCCCCACCCCCTTCTCTTGTACTAAAACTTCACTCTTGTTTTTTTTTTTTAAGTTTATGTATGTATGTATTTATTTTTTTTTAATTTATTTTTTTTTTCAACGTTTATTTATTTTTGGGACAGAGAGAGACAGAGCATGAACGGGGGGAGGGGCAGAGAGAGAGGGAGACACAGAATCGGAAACAGGCTCCAGGCTCCGGGCCATCAGCCCAGAGCCCGACGCGGGGCTCGAACTCACGGACCGCGAGATCGTGACCTGAGCTGAAGTCGGACGCTTAACCGACTGCGCCACCCAGGCGCCCCATGTATGTATTTATTTTTAGAGCGCGAGAGAGCATGAGCAGGATAGGGGCAGAAAGAATCCCAAGCAGGTTCCATGCTGTCAGCATGGAGCCTGACGCAGGATTTGAACCCATGAACTGTGAGGTTATGACCAGAGGTGAAATCGAGTCAGACGCTTAACCGGTTGAGCTACCCAGGAGCCCCTCCTTTTTTTTTTTTTTTTTTAAAGCACATGTGGGGGAGGGGCAGAGGGGAAGAGAATCCCCAGCAGGCTCCACGCTGTCAGCACAGAGCCCAATAAGGGGTTCGACCTCACCAACCATGAGATCATGACCTGAACTGAAACCAAGAGTCAGACTCCTCACCGACTGGGCCACCCGGGGGGCCCCTTACCACCTCACTTTCTAATTTATTTCCTGAGTGCGTATCATGTGTCAGGCACAGTGACGCTACAGGTCAGTGGGGACACAGAGACCATGAAGTCCCAGAGCCCGTTCTCACGAAGCTGGCAGTTAATTAGCTTTCTGTAGGCTCTTCTTCCATTCATAACAAGGACGGGAAGTTAGACCCAAACCTCTGACCAGAAGTCAGGTGCACTTTGTGTACTCTAAGTGCCTCTTGAATCTTTTCATCATATGGAGGAGAGAGAGAATGTATGCAAAAATTAACAGCGAACACTTCTTAAATACCTACAGCGTCGCAGGTACCCTTGGAGCTGCTTACGTATTTTAGCTCATAGATCCTCAACCATTTTGCAGAAGAGGCAACAGGCTCCCAGAGGTGTGGGTAACTTTGCCTGAGGCCCACAGCTGGACGTGGCAGAGCTGAGATGGAAACTCCGGAGCCTGTGTGTTCATTGCATCCCTTGAGCCTAGCACAGGGTAGGCAACCAGTACATTTTTATTAGATCAGTGAATGGGTGAGTGAATTTAACAACTGGCTGGAGAGGAAGAGCATGGGGAGGTCTCCTGGAGGGCATACTTGGGACCTCTAAGTGTTGGCCCATTCACTCCTGCACTCTCTCAAGCTTCTGTGGAAGGCAGCTGCTCTGTGCCCACGACGGTGCTTACACTAAAGGACCCTCAAGATACAGGAGGCAGTCTTTTTTTCTAAACATAATTTATTGTCAAGTTAGCTATACGCTATACAGTGTGCTCTTGGTTTCCGGAGTAGATTGCCATGATTCATCGCTTACGTACAACACCCAGTGCTCCTCCCAACAAGTGTCCTCTTTAATGCCCATCTCCCATTTACCACCCCCTCTCTTCTCTGCGGGCGCCTCCGGCCCCATCAACCCTCAGTTTATTCTCCGTATTTAAGAATCTCTTAAGGTTTGCCTCCCTCTCTGTAGCTATTCCCGCCCCGGTCTTCTGGGACGTTTCTAAAATTCCACATATGAGTGAAAACATGTATCTGCCTTTCTCTGACTGATTTCCCTTAGCATTACACCTTCCAGTTCCAGCCACCTTGTCGCAGATGGCAAGATTCCATTCTTTCTCATTGCCAAGTAGTATCAGGAGACAGTCTTGACCTTCATTACTCCCGTTGCAGGCAATGTGTCCCGGCCCCTGTACCGTCTCACGCTGTTCCTTACAACTATCTACCCAGCGAGCTAGGGCTGTATCGCCATTTTACAGATTTTTAATCTCAGGCTGGCAAAGGGAGTCCCCGTAGGCCAAGGTGGCTCGGCCCCGTTCACACCCAGCGGGGGCGGGAGGGAGGCCCGCGAGGCCAGGAAATAAACCCTCAGCCATTCCAGGCCCTGGAAATCCCCGCCTTCTTTCTCGCATCTCAGCCCCGCCCCTCTAGAGCCCAAGACTCTCCAGCCTTCGGCTGCTGCCATGGCAACCAGCGCGCCGTTTCCGCTGTAAACGTCATTTCCGGCGCGCCGTCCGAGGGCGCATCCGGATTCCGGCTGCTGTAGTGGCGCGCAGCTCGCCCAGAGCCGGTATCTGGTTTTGGTCGGCGGGACCCGGGAGAGGTGAGTGGGGCCGGGGCGAGGGAAGGGACGGGGAGCGGGAGGGGGGGGTCCCCGCCAGTGGGAGTGTGCGCGAGGGACCCACTGAGCAGGTTAGGGACCGAGCCCCGCCGGAAGCCTGGCTTCAAGCCCACCTGCTTTGGAGCCCTGCCAGCGTAGAACCTGGGGCAAGTTGTCCGACGTCCCTGCGTCTCCTTTCTCTTATCGGAAGGGTGGGGACGCCAACAGTACGTGTCTCGTAGAGGTGACTTGATTGCTTACGTTAGATTATCGGCTCGAAGCGTCCGGCAAGTACTTGGTACCTGCCAAAGGCTCTGTAACTCCTAACAGTCCTTTGCTTCTTGCCCCGGGAAGCAGCGATATTACTGACTCCCGTGTGTCTGGGACTCCCTACCTCCCCTGACAACATTTCCCTTCTTTGCACTGCTGGCTGAGGTTGGGACCAGCTGCACCCAAGCAGTGTGCCAGTGAGTAGAGTAAGCAGGGAGAACTTGGTGGGTTTGTTTGTTTTTTAATCTTTGAATGTTTATTTTTGAGAGAGAGAGCGGGGGAGGGGCAGAGAGAGATGGAGACGCAAAATCCCAAGCAAGCTCTAGGCTCCCACCTGTCAGCACAGAGCCCGACCCGGGGCTCGAACCCATGAACGGTGAGATCATGATCTGAGCCAAAGTCGGAGGCTTAACCGACTGAGCCACCCAGACACCCCAAGCAGGGAGAACTCTGTCACAGAAGCGACCAGAAGTAGTGAACTCCTTGTCCCTGAGGGCTGCTTGCAGCAAGCAACTGGTTGGTAAGAATCCCAGTTGCTGTCACAGATTGAATGTATACCACGCAGCGCACCTTGCTTGGCACTTTGTGTGTATTTGATACTCACACACTCACTGAGTACCTGGCAGAGCTGGGATTTGAACTCAGGCTATGATTTTAGCAGTTTGTTAGGTTCCTTCCCTAATCCCGTAATAGTAATGATGATGAAGCTAATCATGGAGCTACTGTAACAGCTATTGTTCCTTGAGCGTTTTTTATTCTGACCTAAGTGTTTTTTAAGCACCGTCTTGTTTAATCTGCCTTACAAGGCATTGTAAAGCTTGGTGCAGTAGTAATTAATCCATTTAAGGAAGAGATGTGGGGCGCCTGGGTGGCTCAGTCGACTAAGGGTCCTAAGGGGTAAGAGTCCTAAGGGTCCGGCTCTTGAGTTCAGCTCAGATATTGACCTCACGGTTTCGGAGTTTGAACACTGCTTCTGGAGTTGCGAGCCCCCCCCCGACAGGTTCTGCGGGGAGAGCTCAGAGCCTGCTTGGGATCCTCACTCTCTCCCTGTCTCTGTGTGCCCCTCCCTCCCCTCTCAGAATAAATAAATAAACTCCAAAGAAAATAATTTTATGAGAAAGAGACAGCTGAATCTCATCATCCAGCTGTCAGGAGTTGAATTCTCTGTTGCAGTACACAGATGTCTGTTAAGGTAGTGTTTATAGTTACTACTGCCTTCAGAAGAGGTTCATGTTTTGGGAGGAAATCTAAGTTTTAGGGTCTCACCAAGTAATATAGTTCAGAAAGCATGTTCTAAAAACAATCACTCCTGGGACCGCCAAGGGTCCAGATACAACTTTCCTCAACAGCAGCAACAACAAAATAATCTGGGATCCCAGAAGATGTCCACCCAGGTTCTGAGGCAATAATAAATAGAGTTACATACGTAGGTATTTTTATGTGGTTTCTATATATGTGAGTATGTTTTATGACATTGACTAGGACAGAGAAATAGATGCTTAAGAATCACATACATCGTTGGGACTGGTCTTGGAGGAGCCTTTTGTCCCGCCTGTTTAAATACGGATCATTTCCTAAAATATGTTTTTAATGTCTGCTTTATTGAATTGTAGCGACGATTTTAACAAGCTTTGTGTTTGGAGGACGTTCAAAGGGAGCAAGGAGCGGGGACTCAGGGAAGCCTGCTGCCGCTTCCAGAACTCACCACAAACTCCACGTGCCTTTCTTATCCCTTCCTTCAGTGACCGGCCATGTCGCTGTCCCACTTGTACCGGGATGGCGAAGGCCACATGGATGATGACGAGGACGAGCGGGAGAACTTTGAGATCACCGACTGGGATCTCCAGAATGAATTCAACCCCAACCGGCAGCGCCACTGGCAGACCAAGGAAGAGGCCACGTACGGAGTGTGGGCAGAGCGAGACTCGGATGAAGAGAGGCCCAGCTTTGGAGGCAAACGGTACTGGGCGCGTGGGGCTGCTTTCTGTTGCTTTAGGGAAGTGGGGGAAGATGGAGAGGGAGTTGGGGGGATAACCACTAAACAGACTTCTCTCCTGGCCTTCCTGAGTCCTGGAGCTGCAGCATCAGCCGGGGAGGCCCAGCTTCCTCTTTGGGCTGGAGGGTGGCTCTCTGCTGACTGAACCATAGGCAGGTGTTCAGTGAGCAATTATATGTAGCGGGTCTTGGGCCGCAGGCCCATTCCTTGCCTTCTGAGAGCTCAGACACCAGAGCATGGAGACAGGCGACGACTGACGACTCACACAGTGCAAGTTTGTGACTGACTTCGGACCTGAGAGAGAGTACGTTTGAGAGGATCTTTGATCTGTTCTGGGAGGCGAGGGAAGAGGTCTCTAGAGAGGCGATCCTTGAGCATATATGACCACAGAGGGTGACGGCATGAGGATACAGAGGCCATTGAGGGGAAGCACCAGGTGTCTACGAGGTATGGAAGCTTTTGCAGGTGGGAGCATAGCTTGAGAAGAGGCCCCCGGGTCTGAGACAGCGAGTGGCTGACGTGGGCGCGCTTATGTTTGGAGGAGACCTTTTGGTGTGCAAAGTTGGCCCGAGGCCCCAGTGGAAGAGGGAGATGTGTGGGGCCGAGACTGGGTCCCTGCAGGCGTGGTGGCGGGGAGATGAGGACTCAGGCTGACAGTCTTCCGCCTCCGCGTGAAGTCACGTGGGCACTGGCCACGAGTCGCCTGACCGGTGTGTGTAGCCAGTATGGGTTTGTCCCTTTGGCCTCGACTGTGGCCTGTAGGCTCCGGCCCTTTGAGACTGTGCCTGTTTCACACGGTCTGGGGAGCCTGGGGGGAAAGAGTATGGAGATCGGTACAGGCAAGAAATCTAAAAGTGGATGACAGATGGCTCAGAGGTCAAGGATTACATAACCATAAGATGATGGTAGCCAAATAGCCAACATCTGTTGGCGCTTTACTTGTTCTGTGCTTTTTACATGGTTGGTATCATTTACCTGTGAGAAGGGTACTGTTGTTACCATTCCATTTTCCACATTAAGAAACTGAGGTCATGATCACACAGCCAGGCTTTGGGAATCTGGGCCTCCCTCCTGAGTTTGGGCTCTTACCTGACTGCATCTTCTAGAAAAGAATCCTCTCAGTTCTGTCACTGCCACGGGGTTGTGCAGTGACTAGGCTGGTCATCTTATAAAGGGAGCTGACGTTTATGACACTGTCCTTGTGACAGTCGTGGTCGGCATCGATACTCGCCATCTCACGGAGTTCGTTTCTTCGTTATTACTTTAGTTTTCACATACAAATGAATGTAATGAACGTGAACTTCTCAGAGTTTGATATAATTGTTAATATACTTTCCATTCATAGAATTTCTTTTACTGTGTTTGATGATTTTTTATTAGAATTTTTCTTGTTTGGTTTTTGTATTTGAAATAGCCTTCAAGACACATGGTTTTTAAAATAGCTTAATTTTTAAAAATGTAAAAGGAGGGGCCCCGGGGTGGCACAGTTGGTTAAGCTTCCAACTCGTGACCTCGGCTCAGGTCACGATCTCACAGTTCATGAGTTCGGGCCCTGCATCAGGTTCTGTGCTGACTGAGCGGAGCCTGCTTGAGATTCTCTCTCTCACTCTCTCTCTCTCTCTCTCAAAAATAAACATTTTAAAAAAATGTAGAAGAAAGTTGTGTTGTATCATATTTTGCATTTTTTCCTTTCACTTTTACGAAGACGTAACTGATACACATGCTGTATAAGATGACACTTTGCATTTTTAATCACCCTTACACTGACATCGATAATTGCAGCCGCAGAGTTGACTTGAACCCATCAGGTAATCATGTTATTGTGATTACAGGATCTGGGGCCCTTTGGGTATAAGTGAGTGTATTGCTCTTTTAAACGATCCCTGGAGGTCCACCCTAAGGGGTTCCCTGGCCAGCACAGTTTCTACAAGGGATGCCTACGGAAGGTTCTTGACAGCCCCCTGGGGGCCTTGTGTTTGCCCGCAGGGCCCGAGACTACTCCGCGCCAGTCAACTTCATCAGCGCCGGCCTCAAGAAAGGGGCAGCAGAGGAGGCGGAGCTGGAAGATTCCGACGACGAGGAGAAGCCTGTTAAGCAGGATGACTTTCCTAAGGATTTCGGACCCAAGAAGTTAAAGACGGTAGCATCTTTGCTTCAGGCTTGTGACCTTAGTAACGTCCTCGGAAGGTCATGCGGCCAGGCATCTGCGGGCGGGGGGCTTGTGTGGGTTTCTCCTCGTGGCGGCAGATTTCTGCGAGGTGTGACGTGGGCAGCGCGGGCTCTTTGCTCTCCTGACGCACGTCACAGATCTGGTTTTGGTTTGTGTGACACTTTTTATAATGCTCTGACTGCCAGGCCATTTCCCCATCGTCCGAGTAAGCTTTGTTAGATTTTTCTTTTTATTCCCTGTCAACTAAGCTTTGGTTTTGTTTTTTTTTCCTCCTCAGGGTGGCAATTTTAAACCCAGCCAGAAAGGCTTTGCAGGAGGAACCAAGTCTTTCATGGATTTTGGCAGCTGGGAAAGACACACCAAGGGAATTGGACAGAAGCTTCTGCAGAAGATGGGCTACGTCCCTGGAAGGGGGCTCGGGAAGAATGCACAAGGTAGGGTGCGGGCACCCTGTAGTCTTGAGGGACGGAGGCGAGGTCCGTGGAGTCTGCGGCCTGGCCCGCTGGCACCTGACGGCTGTGCTCCTCGGCTGTCTGCTTTCTCAGACCCAAACGGAAGCTTGTCTGAGCAGGAGGAAGAGGCTCCGTCAGGCTGCAGACGAGAGGCTTCTTTGTGGCCTGACCGGTGCTTCTTTAAGACTGAGCCTGTTGCCAGCATTTACAAATAAGATAATTTTACCTGACATTTTTGACTTTGTCTGGCAGGAATTGGTTTTAGCTGCCACAGACAGTGCTCGTGGCCTCGGGGAAGCAGTCTCCACCCCCTGTGGTCTTTGGTCCCGATACCCCTTACTTTATGTCAGCTTTCCTGGGCCCTGGAGGCATAGGAGTTTGTAGTCCAGGAATATCCATGAAACATTGTGTGTAGCTTTTTTTTTTTTTTAAAGATAAAGAGTTTAGAGCATTGGGTTGTAGGCCCAAACTTTTTTGCTATTTTAAAGTTTGTTTATTTTGAGAGCACGTGAGTGAGGGAGGGGCGGAGAGAGAGGGAGAGAGAATCCCAAGCAGGCACCGCACTATCAGCGCAGAGCCTGATGCAGGGCTTGAACTCACGAACCATGAGATCATGACCTGAACCAAAATCAAGAGTCAGACACTTAACCGGCTGAGCCACCCAGGTGCCCTTTCGTGTAGCTTTTTTATGCGCCCTTGTGTGGCCGTAAACTTGGCTGAGCAAATCCCACGTGGGGCCCTCTGTCTGCGCTCAGCAGCCCTGCCTCCTGTCCCCAGGCCCTAGCCCCGTCCAGACAGCTCCTCTCACATGTCCCTGTCTCCTTGACATCAAAGCCGCACAAGCCAAGCACTTGGGTTCTTCCTGCAGGAACCTGCTTTCTCTCTCCTTGTCCTGTTTCCCGTGAGCAGGCAGCAACTGGACGGAAACAGTAATAGTTTCTAAGAGTCCAGGCTCCACTCCTGCGTAGTTGTTCAGGTTTCACCCAGCGTTAGCTGGAGGAAAAGTCGTGAATCTCACGGAGCTGGCTGTGGTGACCCAGAAGGAGAACAAGGTCTGACTTGAGATTTCAGCAGTACTAGCTGAAGGGGAGGCTGGGCAGTTTTCACTGAAGTGCGGTAGTCCCGTCTGTTGACTCTTAGAGGAAAATAGTTATTTCCGAGGCTTACGCGTGCTATAAAGCAAGCAAAGTCCAGGAGACAGGAGCTACCCAGGAAAACGGACGGGGTCTCCTACTGAACTGCTGCTTCACCTCGCCTCATTCAGTCAGTATATTCTGCGAATAATTCACTCTCCTTACCGGAACCTTCTTCCAAGGAAAGTGTAGAATTTAGTACTACAGAGTTCCCAGTTACATGTGAATAGTTCTTTTTTCTCCCAGTATCTCAAAAAGACAAATCCAAAGCGGATACGAAAATCTGTATTTAGGACATCGATACGCTGATGTCTGCATCCTCTTGTACCATAAATGCTTAGAAATTTCACATCACAGGGGACTCGGACAGGGTTCCAGGGGCAGAGAAGAGCCCTCCCTCCTGGGCTGTGTTATTCTGTGTCAGGACTGAGGAAGGGTGGTTTCACTGAGTGCCTTGTTCGAATACAGGAATCGCTGTGACCATCTGAAATCTTTTTATCTTTTGCTGAAATCTGTCAGGTATCATTAATCCAATCGAAGCCAGACAGAGAAAGGGCAAAGGTGCCGTGGGCGCTTACGGCTCTGAGCGTACCACTCAGTCCCTGCAAGACTTCCCCGTGGTTGACTCAGAAGAAGAAGCGGAAGAGGTAACCAGAAGTCAGGGGTCACGGGCGGGGGGGTGTCTGTGCTGTTTCCCACTGTCGCTCGCTCACTCGCTCGCTCATTCAGTCGGCCTTCAGATGTCTGTTGCACATGTGACGTGTCACGCTGTGCTGGAGGCCGGAGGTTCCTCCACGAGGAACGGCTTAGAGCCTGGTGCCCAGACACAGTCAACAAGCAGCTGTGGTGTGGTTGCTGAGAGCGGTAGGTGCTGAGAAGGGTCAGAGTAGGAGGTGAGGTGGGGAGTGGGGGGCTGTGCAGGGGTGACATACTTAGGTAGGGAGGAGAGGCTTCAGTGGATTCTCGGCAGGAGAAGGCAGCGAGTGTGGGGCCAGTCGTGAGGCCAGAGGCCACCGAGCGTGCGTCTCCGAGCCTGGTGGCGGAGAGGCCGCGGAGGGGGCTGTGGTGGGAAGGCAGCACACGGAGCAGGGAGGGGACGAGGCATATCGACCGGGCGGGTCACGGCACTGGCCCCGAAGGCCACTTGTAGGTGCCGGGCTTTTGTCTCCAGTGTCGCGGGGAGCCAGCTGTGAGCTGGGGGTCGCTCTGCTCTGGCCCCCGAGGGGCCGGCTGTCTCGACACCGTTTTTCCCCTTTGCATTTATTTATTTATTTTTTTTAATTTTTTTTTTTTCAACGTTTATTTATTTTTGGGACAGAGAGAGACAGAGCATGAACGGGGGAGGGGCAGAGAGAGAGGGAGACACAGAATCGGAAACAGGCTCCAGGCTCCGAGCCATCAGCCCAGAGCCTGATGCGGGGCTCGAACTCACGGACCGCGAGATCGTGACCTGGCTGAAGTCGGACGCTTAACCGACTGCGCCACCCAGGCGCCCCTTCCCCTTTGCATTTACGAGGGACAGCGGGATGCTGCAGAGCCTCGTATTGTCACTGCTCTTGTCGCCGACCCTCTCCTTTTGCTGAGGCGGGAGACGTTGGATAGGGTGGGACGGCAGGTAGCAGGTGTGCAGCAGAAGCGAGTAGGCGAGCCAGGAGTGAGGCGGACGGGCCAGGGCCTCGCTGTCTAAAGAGGTAGTTTCTACTCAGGTCCAGGCGGTTGTTGCCATCGACCTGGCCCAGTAGTGCCTGATCTTTGGTTTTCCTGGAGTAGAGGTCCAGACATTTTTGGGAAAAAACGAGTACAAGTTTTAAACCAGTGTAAGAAACAAAGAAGGACACGCACAAAACCCACTTCGGTGGGCTGGACTCTACTCCCCCCGACCGCGCTTCCTTCTCCATCTACTGTAGGCCTTCCTGTGGAAGAGGCTTGCAGACCTTGCTTACAGAAGGTGTCTTGGCCTTAAGACTTAGGGACCTGCTGATTTGCCCTCATCTTAGATTAGAACCAAGGTTTTGGGTCCTTAAATCCCGTATGTTGTTGTTTAAGTTTCACGTGAGGTGAATTTAAAAGTAGCGTAGTGCCTGCCCGCAGTGGGGGTGGCCGTTGCCTGGGTGTCTGGAGTACCTGCTTTCTGAACCTTCTTGTTTCTACGAGGGGCTGAGCGTCAGGGGCGTGTCAGGAGATGGTTGTAGTGTCCCTCAGGCACGCCGCTTGGCGCAGAACCTTGCGTACGTCTGAGACCGTGCCTAGTGAGTGTCTGCGAACGGTCTCGGTCACCCTGCCTGCTGTGAAAAGCGGCCTGCCTTGTGTCACTGGCCGCCTCCCCCTGCTTCAGGAGTTTCAGAAGGAGCTGAGCCAGTGGAGGAAAGACCCCAGCGGAAGCAAGAAGAAGCCCAAATACTCTTACAAGACGGTGGAGGAGCTGAAAGCCAAGGGCAGGATCAGCAAGAAGCTCGCTGCCCCCCAGAAGGAGCTTTCTCAGGTCAAGGTACGGGGCGGGGAGGGGGGCGCTGGGAAACACTGCCACACCCGCGTCAAGTCAATCACCCAACGTTCTCTCGGATCCCGTGGGGTCTTCTGGGCTTGCTTTGTTCTGTTCGTTATCGCTTGGCGGTAGCGTGTGCCCCGCGCTGGGCGCTCTTTGTTACACGGCAGTGGTGCAAAACCACTTCTCTCTGAAGCGCCCGGTCCGTGAACTTAAAAACATTTCCGTAATTTGGCTATTGTTGAGAGTGCTGCTATAAACATTGGGGTACAAGTGCCCCTGTGCATCAGCACTCCTGTATCCCTTGGGTAAATTCCTAGCAGTGGTTTATATACACAATGGAGTACTACATGGCAATGAGAAAGAACGAAATATGGCCCTTTGTGGCAACGTGGATGGAACTGGAGAGTGTGATGCTAAGTGAAATAAGCCATACAGAG